GCTTCAGAGGACAGAGTGCTGTCCTCTGAAGATGCCGGCCACAGAGACTGGCGAAACGTTAGGAAGAACAACTTTCAGAACACGGCCAAAGAGCCCGAAAAACCCACAACAACCAAAACTGAAACACTTCAGCTGTATGATCATAACTTAGCAGCTTGTAATACTGAACCTTCTCATTCTTCTACTTTAAAAAAAAAGAATTTATTTTTGGTTTACAAGTCTTGGCTGAAATCCAAGTGTAGCTTATAGCCACTAAGGCTAACATCATCAGCAGCAATGATTTTTCAGAAGTGATACAGTTCCAACTTCTGACCCAAAGTGTATGTGTAATCCCTTTCATTGTCAGGAAGCCTTGGAGGCCACAGGACAATAGAGGGAGGTATTTAATTACCAAAAGTCACCACAATTGGAATGACTTTATATCCTGTTCTTCTGTGATAGAGCATGGGAATGAGTGCTATTCCTTTCTTCTGTGAAAAGACTCCTTCTTTCTTTGGGGGGCGGGAGGGAGTGGATGCGGCAACAGTGGCAAAACATTGGTGCAACACCACTTTGCTTCATGTCTCAGTGCTTTTTTCTCCCACCTCAAGCTTCAGGAGAGCTTGGGCCACTCCTGAGAATGACAAGATTCCTGCCTACATTTCAAGTACTGGACCCAACCAGATTGGACAAACAAGTCTCTCTTCAGCACTGCTGGTGGGACATTTGTTACTGTACCTGAGGAAAACAGGCTACTTTAGGGGGCTTAATCCAAATGACACACACAGCTCTGTCCTCTCAAGTATTGCTGTTGCCTCTTAACACTCCCCATGTACTCCCTCAGACCACTGCCTTGCTCTGTCTAATATAGAGGCTATTTAAAGGAAGGATTCAGAAGTATGCCCTTCTATAGGTATGTGAAATATAGTTGTCTGTAGGTGTGTGTTTGAGAGCTAGAACACCAAGAATTCTGGGACCTGAAAGAGGACACCCCTAATCTCTACTTTGACAGCATCAAGAAGTGAAATCTTAGATACATTATGCATTTACCTGAACGTCCAAATACAGTTTTGGCATAATCTGGATGGTTGACTACTAAGACAGCTCTAAAGCCACCAAACCATCTTGGATAAGCATAGGGGTATTTTTCTGACCATTCCAAGAGCTTGAAGAATTCTTTTCCTCGAGTGATCTGTAAAGATGGAGAACAGAAGGAGAAAACAGTTATTCAACTGCTTCCTAGTTATGTAACACATAAAATCATAGAATAATGAAGTTGGAAGGGGCCTATAAGACCATTGATTCCAACCCCCTGCTTAAGGCGGGAATACAAATCAAAGGATATTGGCTAGGTGTCTGTCCCCAACATTGTCGGGGAGGTGTTGTCTTCTCATTTAAAAATGAATTATTGAAGTAGGTGTAAACTGTGGGGAGGCACAGGGGGAACGGTACCTCAGGACAATATTTTTTGGAGGTGCACCCTCCTGTATGTCCCAAAATCCCACCTGTGACTGATCATTTTACAAATGAATGCCTGTAGAGTTTTACAAATTTGTGTCCCAAATGAGATTATGATATTGTCCACTAAAAATGTTTTTATGAGTGCATTCCAGGAAGGGTGTTCTCATATTTTCTGAAATACATATGAATCCCATTTTCATTGCAACAGAAATACTCCCTAGATATGAAACACTGGAACCCTACAGGGAGCATTTTGGAGCAAAAAGAAAAAAAGCCCCTTCCTAACACAACAGAGGTGACTTATCACATTTTAAGTAAGGTAATCCGTTATTCTCTACAAAATTTATCCCACTAAGATGTTGAACATAGCACTTAAAATGACCAAACTATATATGTATGATCCTAAGATATACAGATTCTAAACACTTATAAATTAGGCATGCTTCAGTCTCAAAAGGCTATGGTAACGCATGGAGGACTTGGAGCAGCATCTAGTGTGGCTGAGAAGGCCAGTTTGAGAGTAACCATCCCTTCCGCACTGAAGACAAATACAATCTGTCCCCTGCCCAGCTCCATGATTTGGCTGCTTTCAGGACTGCCTCTTTGCCTGCTGAACAAGGGTCTCTTCAAATTGGGAGAGGCTGTGATGCAACGCCTGCCTCCAGTCTGAACCCTCAGATGTCAAGGTTTCCCATCTGTTGAGGTCCATTCCTAAGGGCTTTAGATCTCGCTTGCAGATATCCCTGTATCGCAGCTGGGGTCTCCCTCTGGGGCAATTTCCCTGCACTAATTCTCCATACAGGAGATATTTTGGAATCCAACCATCAGCCATTCTCACAAGATGCCCAAGCCAATGTAGACATCACTGTTTCAGTAATATATATATTCTAAAAATTCCAGTGCAATCTAGGGCTACTCTGTTTGGAACTTTGTCCTGCCAGGTGAAAAAGTTCCACATAGAGTAGTCTATAACACTTATAACTGCTTAAATAAGAAGACATGGTTCTCAGTTAAAAGAGGCAGCACTGAGCTAGTCAGACACAAGTGAGAGCATTATATCCAAATCCAGCTCAGGTCTTTTGCAAGTGTGGCCGTAGACAGGAAAAGAGTGGCTCCCCTGAAGAGAATTCTTGAGACACTCAACCTGATCTGTGTGGCCACACAAGGGAATTATACAACATTTACTCTTTTCAACAGAAGCCCCCCACTTGAACTCTGTTTCCTCCTTACTTGATCCTTGCTTAATTGTGCTATAACTATGTCAAACAATATATTTGTGAAAAGTGCATGTGTGTTTAAAGGTAAATAAAACTACCCCCAGCTCCCAAAGGACAACTCATCCTGTTCCGGTACAAGGAGGAGAAAACAGACCTTAGAAATGGAAGCAAGGAGGTACAAATGACAAGGCAAGCATACTTTCAGTGGATCTGATGAAATCAAAATCCAGCTGATACTCCTGCAAAATTGTTTGGTTGACTACTGGATTCAATTCCTCTTCATTCTGTTATGACATTTACACTCTTGCATTCAAAACTACAGTTGTATTGATGCTTCTTAACCCAATTACAGTGTATACACCCTGAAATATATCTAAAGCATATTTGGAATATTTCATCTGAACAATGATCAGCATAATTATAGGTAAACACTAAGTCATGTACTGAAGAGGGCCTTTTGGGGGTTTTTTGGCAAATGAAGCTTTTCATCCACGCATGTACTGAAGAGGGCCTTTTGGTTTTTGTTTGTTTGTTTGTTTTTTGGCAAATGAAGCTTTTCATCCACCTTTCATCAGTTTCAACTTAGCATTTTAACTGTTGTTACCAATGCCTGGAATTCAGCATTGCTCTCCTTCTTCGGTTTCAACTTAGCATCTTAACTGTTACCAACGCCTGGAATTCAGCATTGCTCTCCTTCTTCCCCCTCTCCTAAGCCATCTTCCTTACCTCCTTGTTGTTGCCAAAAAACCAGTGGCTCGGAGGGCCTGGAAAGCTTGCAAAGGCTTTGATTTGCTTCTTCCTTTTCCAATACAACTGAACAGCTTTCAGCACCCCCAAAGTGAAGATGATTCCTACAAAGAGATGCAAGAGTTGGGGAGAGCGGCTCGCTATTCTCTCCAGTATGGAATGCATGATGCTGCCGGCTTTGAATCAGTTGTAGCAGCACAGTGGGGCACCTTTTTATTTATCTCTGCAAAGTCTGAGTAATCAGTAGCCAATGGTGTCTCTCTCACCTGCCTTTGGTACTGAACTGTGCTCAGATGATTTACCTTTCACCCAGAGGGAATTCTAGAATTCTATCCTGCAACAGAGAGGAACAAAAGTCATTCACTCATGCCAAACCTGTTTATCCAGATTCAAAAGAAAAGCAAAACCGATGTGTTTTGCGAACATGGATCCTACAAAGATTTTGAATTCCAATTTATATGTGTAAGGTGGTCCTCTGCATACATACCCAGAAATGAGCACCAAGGGATTAATTCAGTGGAAGTTACTCATAGGGATGGGGGTAACCATGGCAGAATTGCGCAGAGCTTCATCTCTGTCATCTGAAACTGAATAGGTAATATTTTAACAAAAACATGAGTATCTCCTCCATGGTTACATGACCTGCACTTTCACCTAGTTAAGAGTTTAAATCTATTTAAACAGCAATGTTATACATGCTGACTCAGGAGCATGTCCCATTTAATTCACTGAGACATACGTCTAGGCAGGCCTAGGAAGTAACTTCATAAGAATGACTAGCCACTTGTAATTAATTTCTTTTTTTAATAACTAAGGTGTAACTAACCTACATTATGATTCACTTATCTTATGATATAACTGAAAGTTTCTTCTTGTTGTTTAGTCGTTAAGTCATGTCTGACTCTTCGTGACCCCATGGACCCAAGCATGCCAGGCCCTCCTGTCTTTCACTGCCTCCCAGAGTTGGGTCAAATTCATGTTGGTCGCTTCGATGACACTGTCCAGTGTCATCCTCTGTCATCCCCTTCTCCTCTTGCCTTCACACTTTCCCAACATCAGGGTCTTTTCCAGGGAGTCTTCTCTTCTCATGAGATGGCCAAAGTACTAGAGCCTCAGCTTCAGGATCTGTCCTTCCAGTGAGCACTCAGGCTTGATTTCCTTTATAATGGATAGGTTTGTTCTCCTTGCAGTCCAGGGGACTCTCAAGAGTCTCCTCCAGCACCACAATTCAAAAGCATCCATTCTTCAGCGGTCAGCCTTCTTTATGGTCCAGCTCACACTTCCATACATCATTAGAGGAAAACCATAGCTTTGACTATGCAGGCCTTTGTTGGCAAGGTGATGTCTCTGCTTTTTAAGATGCTGTCTAGGTTTGTCATCACTTTTCCCCAAGAAGCAGGCGTCTTTTAATTTTGTGGCTGCTGTCACCATCTGCAGTAATCATGGAGCCCAAGAAAGTAAAATCTGTCACTGCCTCCATATCTTCCCCTTCCATTTGCCAGGAGGTGATG